ACTCAGAAGGAGAGAGCTGTTGGATGGAAGATGCACCAGTGAATGCACCAGGTCACGGGCAAGAATTTGCGCAGTAAGAAACTCCCTTACTGATAAAAACAGAGCCATGACACTTATAGGACTGAAAAGCAAATATTCCTCATGCCTCCAGATGTTTGACAAATGACCTGTCACCGTTCCTGAGAGCACAATATGCAGCCATTTAGCACTTGTGGAAGGAGATTCTGGAAGAGTAACTAATATACAGATAATGAAGGGGCAGGATACAGGCACAGGTGTGCATGCAGGTACATAGAGATATACATGTGCATGAACATGACTTAATGGTAATGACCAGAGAGAACCTGTGAATAATCCTTCATATGCACCAGCAAGCCTACTGTCTATGACTGGGTAAAAAAAAAGGCAAAAAACACCCACAACAGTTTAAGAGCATATCTACTTTCACCATCATTCTGTCTTCTTTTTCTTTGCCTATGAAATCAGGTTACCTTAGCTACCATGAGCATACATGGCTCAGAGTCAGAGAAAGGTTAGTAATCAATCTCCTCTGAACCATTCAAACATTCCTTACAGATCAGAGAGTCAGTTTTAAGGTCCAATACCTCAGTACCTGGCAAGATTAGAAACAACTGCTTCAGACAGTGCTGCTCCAGCCAGCCTATGCACGGGACTCTCCAGCAGGACTAAGCCTTCTTCCCTATTGCAAAGAAAGTGCATTTTTTTCCAAAACAAGGTCAACCTATTCCTCACTCTTCCCTGAACAACATTCACAAAAAAAATAAAAATAAAAAAAATCAGTGGCTTTTTAAAAAAAGTATTTCTGCAACACAAAATATCAGATTTGAGAAAACAGAAGCAGGTTCCAGCTGGGACAAACTGGTGGGGTATGTGGGCAAGAAATAAAAAGCCAAATGAAGCACAGCTTGATCCATGGCTCCTTCAGATGCCATGACTGCAGGAATGTAATGCCTTCCTCACTAGCCATCAAGAACTTGCACACAGGGCATGCATCTGAGTTTGTCACACATTACATGGAAAAGGCATGCTGTAATGGTCACAGCAGACTGGAGCTGATTTAGGAGCAGAGTCCATCAGTGACAAGACCAGGAGTAAATTAAGCAGGTCCTCCCTGACAAAAACCACCCTATTAAGCAAAGGATCGCAAATTCAGCACATGCCACATGTTACAGAAAGTGGATCTGGACACTGCTCTGTTGACTGGGTGCTAGTCTTCCTCACTCACATCTTTTAAGCAATGTCACATGCACAGAGCCTACTTGTACAGCAGCAAGATTAACCCTACCACAAGATTAACCCTACCACAAACAGGCTAAATGTACATCCAGAATTAGAGCCACGTGCTCTGTTGGGAATCTGGGACAGAAACTTCACTTGCTAAACCCCCTGCCTTTTCTAACACCGTAAGATCACAGGAAAACACCGAAGATGGGGCAAACTTAGCACCAAGAAGGGAGTCACACCAAGGGAAGAAGTAACCTTTGCAGTAGGATAGAGGTCACAATGCTTTATCTCTTAAAGGTACATTAAAAAAAAAAAAAAATCTTTTAACTTGAAAACTTCTGAAGCAGGGACATCACTAGACTCAATTTTGAGTAGATGGGTTACAGGGCAAAGGTCAGGAGATGCAACCAGAATTCAGGTTAATATGATCCATCACACAGAAAACTCCACACACATATTATGTGAGTTTTGTGCATGATACACATAAACCAAAACACAAGTATGGAGGTATAATCTCCATTATTAACTCTACACTGCTTGCAGAGATCTTTTATAATTTACAAGGCTTCATTTGACTGTCTGTGGAATACAGTTTATTAATTCTGGATAGTTTCAAAGGGAGCTTTCTATAAATGCTCCATTGAATTATCTATCTTCAGAGATCATCAGTTTCTAAACCTGTAATGACTGATAGTGCTATACTGATAATAATCCTTTTACTACCCTGTCCTGTTAGAAAGGGCATATTCTCTCACTGCAGCAAAAATAAAAACAGAAAACACACACAGTTGCAACATTATACTATTGAGGGCACTCCTATCAGAGCTCACTAATATTAATCAGAAAACACCGTATCTACTCCTCTGAGAGGCCAAAAACAAAAGTAGCAGATTGCAAGCTCATCTATAGTGAGCAACAAGTGACTACAGTTTCAGAGCTGATGCGTACGCTGGCTGCACGTTACCTTCGGACAGCAGAATATCATGAGAAGGCAAAAATGCAACAGGAAATGCAACCATTAGGTGAGCAAATACTAAGTCTTTTTAAACAAATCTTGTCTACAGAACTGGAGTAGGTTACATTTTCCATGCACAGAAAAAATTCCTCACTCAAGAAGAATTAAGATACAATAGTGTACACACTGTACTGCACAATGTAATGGGAAGTGCATAAACTGACTGGCATGCAGAGGTGGCAAAAGATGGCAAAGAGCTGTCTGCAAAGAAAGCATGTTCCCAAGAGATGACTTTGAAGGCAACTTCAAGGCTCCCTTTGCGGAAGTCTATGCATGGGGTTGGTATTGAACTGGCCCAAGCCCAGGGCCCAGTCCAGGTGTGCTCTGCCATATTCCAGCTGTTCTCACCTAAAGGCTTCTCAGCTAAATAATCCTCATTTAGGCAACAGCACAGTATCTGTGTAGGCACACACATTCTCTGACTTGAAAGCTCACTTCTGAAGGACAACAAAAGTCACTGAAGACCAAAACAAACATTTTCTGGTTTTGTCTTCTGTTTGATTTTTGGGTTTTGCTTTGATGGGTTTTTTTGTTTACTTGTACTGGGGTTTTTTGTGTGTGTTTTGTTTTGAACTAAGAATTATGTTCATGGGTTGTTTGCAAAAATCTAGTTTCACAGCTTTTATTCCAGACATGACAAGAGCCCTAGCTGACTGACAGCCACCTAGTCATCTCCTAAACACCTGTCCTGTGAGTCTGAATGAGGGAAAAAAAACCAGAAGTGAATCCCATCATACAATCGCTATCTCTCCCTTCAAACAACACATAAATTAAAAGGCAGCTTTACTCCGCATTACCAGCATGACTCAGACCAAAAAACAATGACAGAGACAAACGTAAGTATTCTAACAGCTACACAAACATTTTCTCAACCAGAATAAACCAAATTACCTTATGAAGAAAATGATCTACACTGAGGCCCATAAAACACACACACGGACACGCATACTGTTTTGGCATTAAAACTCTGCATAGATCAAAGATGCACTTCAGTTATCAGAGCCCCTGGTGGACAGAAGTCCTGCAGAAACCCACCCTCCAGCCATGGGACCAGGTGCCAGGGCACGGTGCTCCTCCACAGCGCGCTTGGGGCACTCAGTGGCTGCTGCCCGAAACCAAGCACAAGGCTTCAGGAAACAGAAAAAAGTCAAAGATCTTAAAAGGTCTAGGACACCCACCCACACACGTATGTATTAGAAATTATTCAAGCTAAGACTCTAAAGGTTCTTACTTTAAGTCCATTTCCAAAATGCATTTTAAGTGCAAGTTGTGCTTTTTCATGTGCTTGTGATGCCACTATCACCGTTTGTCAGCTGCCTTCCAGCGCTGCTGCCTGTGCTTCCACGCAGAAACAGCCAGAGAAGAAACACCCCACATGCCATTTTATCGGCAGGTAACATTTTTCAACTACTTTTAAGATCAGCATGGCAAAACTTGGGCTTACGGACACTTAGTTAATACACAAGTCATCTTTACCCATGAGCACGGTCCTGCTGGCACCAGCCGGATGAGATACGTGGAGGAGGGTTTCCACAACAGGGCCCAGAGCAAAATGGTTTGCAGTGGGAATAACTGGGGTCACTGCCAGACACGGCACAGAAGCCAGCCCCACTGCCACCAGCACTCTCGGTACTGTTGGGGAAAGCTGCAACAGGGGGGTTAGAGATACAAAGGCCCCTTCACTGCAATGGGATGGATCTCCAGGACTGAACTTCAATACCGAAAGGATGAAATGGAAAGCAAAAAGCACAACTGTCTCTCACGTATTTTAACAGCATTGCAGGGGAAAAAACCCACCTTGCATTTTTAAACAATTTATTGCATAATGTCATGATATGTGACTAAATACATTTCAGGCTACAGTGAGGACAAAAATCTCTAAAACCTTAAGTACTGGCGATACTGCATTATCAAAAGGAAAAGAATGGCAGCTCTTAGAATCAGTAAAAATTAACACATCTGGAACTTCATTTTGCCATTTACAAAACATATAGTCTATGCTGCAAAATAGCTAAACCATAAGTGATGGAAAATGCTGGGATTTCGTATTTGCCTCTTTCCATCCAAAAGTCTCCAAGACACTTCACTGATGCACTGTTATTTGAATGCAAATTATTGCAAAGACAAGTTAAGTGTCCCTGTATTTCTTGATTTGCAAAAGTCAAGAGATGTTAGGCTAAGTCCTGTCCCCTTTTTCTAGCAAACCGGGGGGGAGGAAAGACCTCCAGATTACTTCTGGGGCTCTACCATTATTCCACAGGTGAAAAGACAACATATAGAAGAACTTCACATAAAACAGTTCCCTCATATATATTTCTTTAAACATTAAGATAGTGCAACTTTTTAAAACACATTTATCACAACACAAATTAATTCCTTGCATTCATCTAAGTTCTCAACTTTATACCTTGGCACACAAAACAGGAATTTTGTTTCATATTAAAAAAAAATCCACACCCCGGGAGAAAAAGAAAAGCAAACTGGCCAATTCTTCCCCCATTTATCTAGCAAAACCACTTTCCTTCTTCTGCCATTCAGTGAGTATAAAACAGGCTGTACGAGCCTCAATTCTGTGCTAAGTTAACTTTTAGAATTAAATAAGTGAAATAGTTTATTAAAAAAAAATAATATATCCCCCCCACCCATAAAACACTGCTTGTAGACAAACCAAATGTAAGTTTGTATTTCTTTCAATCTGCTTTGCATGCAATTCCCCTGAAAGGAATCAGAAACAAAGAACTGGTTTGCACGTTTGGTTTTACTACGTTGTACCAGGTGAAACTTAACAACACTGTGCACTGGAGCATGGGGGTCTTCCTCCGCCGCTCTGCTTCCGTCTCCTTGTCTTCAGTTCAAATGCACCTGGGCAAGGGACTTAGACCAGGTTTCCCGGTTTCCGGTCCTGGCCTTTGCTGGGGACTATTGTGCTCTCTGAATTGTTCTGCTGAAACTGAAGTCTGCTCCCTCTCTGCGAGGAAGGAGGCGCGTTGCTGTGCTGGTGATGGAAAAAAGAGGAGCCTGGGTAATGCCCCATGACCTCGCTGTATGTCGGGGGTGGTCCTTCCATCCTTCCATTACTGCTATAGTTGGTTGCACTTATGCCCGAATTGCTGCTTGGTGGGCAGGGGCCCCCATTGTACATCGAGATGTCTATCAAGTCGCTATCAAAAATGGTTCGGTTGGGTGGTGCCCTGACAGATTCCCGGTTGAGTTCCATCTGCTGCTCTGGGTCCCGGAGCTGCAGGGTGCACGGACCCTGGTACGGCGGCGGCTCTTCCCCGTCGGAGAGGGAGATGGTCGGAGGAAGGTCAATCTCATGCTGCATGTAAGGGTAAGTGGGCTGGAAGCGACTGAAACGGTCCCGCTGCATAAAAGACGGGGCAGTAAACCTGTCCCTGGACCTTGGAGTGTACATGATCTGCAATGGGAGGAAAGAGACACGTGACTCCACATCCCAGCAAAGCACTGCGGGTGCTGCATGTTTATGAAGTACCAGTAAAACAGAAAATACTCCTCTCTGCCATCTAACTTGAAAGATTAAACCCAACAGACATTGGGCATGTGTGCTCCCACACACACACATGTGAAAAAAAGAGGTAGGAGTTGCAGGAAGGGTTGAACACAATATACTCATTAACAGCTTCACAACAGAAGACCAAGACCTCACAGTTCCTTCTGACATTAAAACATGCAGAGCTGAGAGAAAACAATCCTGTTTTCTGTACACACAAAACACTTTCTCTCTAGTCTTGACAAAATTAACTAGTCCTACAAAAATGTCCCAATACTGAATTTCAGCTGCAGCCTGAGCCTGTCCCTCCTACTCAGAGTTAATGTAAATGCCCTGCATCACCAAAGAATTCACATGGTCGCTTTGGTACATTTTATAAAGGCCTGGCATACCTCACGCCTTCACTACCAGAGTGTATCGGGTGTCCTCCTCCCCCCCACTTCTCAGCCAGAACTCAGCCTCCAGGGAGGATCTGCAACGCTTCTGCATTGCAAGTGGAAAAAATGTTCCCAGCATTTTAAGCCCTGCAGAAGGTCAGGCTTCACAAGGCAAGGAGTTCAAGACACTCTGTGAGAAGCTATTGCTGCTCACGTGGTCTATCTGAGATCTAGAGACACACCAGGTTCTTAGATCTAGATCTATCAAACTGCTCTTCTCATTTTTTGATCCATGCAGGGTCTTTAGATCCCAAGTCTCATAGATGCAAGGTCAGCCACCAGGAAGACTCACTGTTTGACACAGGTGAGCAGGACCCATTGGAGCAACACATACTCAATCAGGGATCTGTGCTAGTTGGAAGACAGGAGACACTGGAGATAGGGTATGTGTTGTAAATTCAGGAAAAACACAGGGAGAAGAGCAACTAGTCTCACAGATTCCACTGAATAAGCCAATTACTAGGCCACTGCATGAGAAAGACACCTTCCAACACTTACCTGTGAATGCCTACTATGATAAAGGGAGCCGCAGACAGAGATGAGGTGTCAGGTAGGTAGAATTTAATTGTTTTAATGAAAAAGTCTTAAGCATTTATAGAATGGGAGTTAAGACAGGCTCAGAAGTACTTGACTCTTGGTCTACACTAAAATAGCTTTATTTACTAAATAGATGTATGCTTTTGAGATGAGTCAAATATACGTAACAGGCACATTGGTGAAGACAGTAAGAAATCTGTTAGTACCTCTGAAGCACCCGGGCGTGAAACTGAGCTTTCTGAAGGCCACAAGCACCCTTCCTGGAATGTAGAAAAACACAAGAGAGAAAGATTAATAGATCACATCACCATCCTACCTCAAGTAACACAACTTTTAGGAGCAGTCAGCTTCTAAGAATTGTCTCTGCCTAGAGAAAGGTGATAAACAAGTAATGTCCCACCCTTTGCTTTCCAAAACTAGAGCATCAGCTCTGCACCCAAGGAAGTCAGGCTTGGTCCATTCTGCAAGTGCATGGCAGCAAGCAGCAACTGATCACTTGCGTGCCGAGCAGACACCCTTCAGCTCCCAACCCATGACAAGGCCACGTCAGCACAGTTGGCAGGTCTGATGAGGCTGACCTGCCACTCAGGATCCTGAGTACAAACCAGAGCCAAAACAGTTCATAATGAAACCTGGCATCTGTAACCTCAGTGAAGTGACAGCCATTCTAAACCTAGGTCTATTCTGGTCAAAACTGTCATCTGCCCAGTTCCCACCATAAACAATAATTAAGCATCTGAGGTTTCAGTCACCAGTTCCCCTCTTCAACCACTTCCCCAACCACTTTTTCAGGCCAAAGCATTTTGTCTGTCATGACTTGAAAGGCTCTTCTGACATTGTACCAGCACTCAGGGCAGAATAAAAGGGTGAAGAACAACATGCGTGTGTCCCTATTTTTCTTCTCAATTAATTGTTTAGAGTAGCAGTAACTACTGCAATGGATTTGGAATTTTTCAGTTATTGGAAAATATCAAAGCTGAGAAGGACACATCAGAGCAGCTATAAAGCACAGAATTTCAATCTTAGTGCAGAAAGAAAAATCAAAACATTGCACAGTCATGACTATTTTCTTGCTGCTAATTCAAGTCTTATGATTTTATAGCCGTAAGAAATGTCATGAACAGGAAGGAAAATCAATGCTGTGCCCAAAAGCATTACCCTGTACAGACTACTTTCAAGCCTTACTGCACTGCTTCTTCTCTGCACAACATCTTTAAACATATTTCAGATGCAAAAATAGACCTAACTAGATATTCATCATGACACTTAGAGACTAAAACCAAAGAGGAGAGCTGCTTTAAGAGGAACTTCCCAACAGATTCAACTGCTAAGGGAAATGCTTTGGACTACAAAGCTGGTCAATCACTTCTGTAGCTTTAGAAAGCAGAGGTAGAGGGAGGCTGGCAATTGCCATTACTTACAATTTCCCTTTGCAGGTATGCCCATTTGCAAAAGCCTGATACAAAAGACAAATCTTACCTAGATTCACGTATTTCAGTGCCTACAGAAGGTTTGGTCAATGCAAGAAATCATAACTGTATAAATACATGCACATACATGTACCCACCTTCCTTTCCACCCCCTCCATCACCCAGATGCTCTTTTGAAATATCTGAGGGTGTATCTATACAATTAAAGACAATCAGTTTTATGAGCAGCTGGCCCAGTAGGCTCCAAGTCTGTTGCAACCATAAATTAAAACATATTAGTCAAAGCTAAAGTGCTCAATTAACTGCCCATGACCTACAGGCCATACACAGCCCAACAGCAGATTCCTGAGTATGGTTTGAAAAATCTAACGTGTGTAGCTTTACATTTAGTGCAACTGCCTCACTCTCTTCCTTAATGTGTTTAGGTTCAGAAGTGAAGAAACAAAGGCAAAACCAATGACCTAACCCAGAAAGGAATCCAATCTACCGCCATGACTCACGTTACTTAAACACCCTTATGAAAGAGAGTTTCCAGTGCGGAAGTGGAAGCAACTACTTCCATCCTAGGGCCCGTGGGCCCTAAGCCAGGAGAGTAAGAAGAGCAGAGGGAGACAGTGCAGTATACAGAGAAAAACTCCTTCTGCTGAGACGGAGTAGGGATCTGCATGTTGAGCCTGGGCACACAGCTGGTACCAGCCACGTCTAACAGAAACAACTTTCTGAAGAGTGGAGTTGCCTATTATTTACACTGCTGATGCCTGAATCCCAGCACAGTAAAAGACCTCGCCTGGAAGCACTGCCACTGCTACAGAAACCCCCCAGAGTCTGACCAGGGTGCTGGGACAGTTGGACCACGACGATGAGAGCAAAGGATCCCACGGCTCTCCCCTCTCTGGGCTAACTACTTGAGGTGGTAGACAGCTTGCGATGCTGGTGAGCTCCAAGGCTGTAACGTCGTTAGGATGCAAGGAGGTGTAACACGTAGTCTCTGCAACAGCGCGTCCTACAGCCCACCTGTAGCTACTCCCTTCCCATAGCTTTCCTCTGCAGAGAGCAGCAGGTTGAATAAATCATTTGGCAGCAGCCACCTCCCAGTAAGATCTCTATCCCAAGGAGCCAGAGGAACTCCCCAAACAGATGGCCGGTAGCATGTGCTCAGCATGCCCACGCTTGGAAAATACCACACTCACACACCACGTGCAGACCAACCTCACCATGCATACGTGGTCGGTCCAGTGCCACAGTACAGGATTGTCTCATCACTGCTAGAATAAGCCCAGGCTAACTGGGCCAGTGCAGGAAAAGGCACTACACTCTCACTTAGTGCACTGACAAGCCTTAAAATGGACAGTTGAGAGAAAGTGAAGGAGTTGACAACCAGGTTTCCTGCACACAACTACAGAGGAATCTTTGAATCCCTCTAGGACACAAAATCATTGTACAGGAACCTGCAATGACAAATAGAACCATGCAGAGGGGCTTCCTAAACTTTAAGGGGAGAGCAGTATGACAACATGGGAAGATGAGTACACAGAGAAGGAAAAGCAAGCGAGAGAAAGAGATGACGTACAGCATGTCAGGGCTTAAATATGAAGGGCTTCATGGGCTTTGTAAGTACTCGAGGGATACAACAGAAGAGGAAAATAATTTATGCTTGATATCACACACTAGATACCCTTTATCCTTTTACATAGCACAGATTTGATGAGATGCCTCTGAGCCAGACACAGTAGCTTCCTAGTAACTGGTGCAGCTTCCGCTTTAGCTCTGGCCTGGAACCTGTCACCTCAGAGCAAAGGCAGATTCTGCTCAGTTTGTCTGCAACCATGTATTTAGATATGCCCTTCTGCTAACATCCCAAGGCTAAAAGTTAGGAAATGGGTAAAAATTTAACACACTGAAGTGCTCTGCTGAATCTTGACCTGAAATGTCAGAGGAGCTTTCTGCACTTTGCCTTCTGTAGATAAACCCCGTAACTTCTACAAAAGGTGGCATCTGTTGTCAGAGGATGTAGGAAGGCAATAAGGAAAACTAAGGCCTCCTTGGAACTAAAACTTGCAAGTGAGGTCAGAGACAATAGAAAGAGCTTCTTCATGTACATTGCAGATAGAACTAACACTAGAGGCAATATAGGCCCACTGCTGAATGAGATGGATGCCCTGGTGACAGGGGATATAAAGAAGGCAGAGGTACTGAATGCCTTCTTTGCCTCTGTCTTTACTGCTGCAGACTCTCCCCAGGAGCCCCAGATCCCTAAA